TTTTTACGTGGACTCTACACAGGAAGTGTTCTGCACCTCGTTACAGGATGAGGTCACGGAGTTGTTCGGGTGGCAGCCGCACGCCTCGCAGCCCCGCCCGCCGGCCAGGTTCCAGTGGTCGGGGGCGCAGTGGTCGCAGGTCAGCCCCACCACGCTGGGCAGGCACTGGCACTGGCCGGTGGCCCGCTGGCACACGCAGTCCTCCCGCTCCATGCACTGACTCCGCTCGGTTCCCAGGAAGTTACACGTGCACTCTGAGGCCGGAAAAGAAAGGCCCCCACCATCACAAAGCAGCTCTTAAACACACCAAACCAGCCATCGGCGCCTTTCATACACTGGATCGGCCCTTTATATACACTTTCATGCTTTTTGTACACATCTTTTTTTGTTGTTTCCCTGTGTAGATTACCTTTAATGTAATAACATTTAATTAGCTTTTCTTATTTATTGTGTAATTTGTGTTGTAATATAACGAGGTTAGATTAATATTTCTTTATGTTTGAACAAAGTGCTTCGCGTTTTACTTTGAAGGGCTCCCGTGACATCTCGGGAATTCAGGATTTTCGGAGTTGTCAAAAAACGTGAATACGGTCGACATATTAAAAAGTGTTAAAAGGTTCTTTAAAGGTACTAGATCCTGGCTAAAAGGGCACACGGTTTGTACCGTCTTTTGTATTATATTGTGTCCAGGGTTTAAGTCTTATGATTGTTTAAAATAAGTAAAGTGTGTTTGCTGTTAGCATCGTACCGATCTATATTTAGCTAAGCTAACGCTATAATTTCGGCCTGTAAAGTTTAAAAGATTGTTCATTGGAAGGTAATTCTATTTTTATTTTTCAATTTATTTTAGCTCTTACGGTGAGTTCATATGATGCCTTTGTTGACCGTTCGAATTAAAAGGATATGAACTTTAAGTCAAATAGTCCGGCCATCTATTAGCCGGGGACGCTACACTCTGTGTAACGTAGTTATTCTTGCACTTAGTTAATTGTTGTGGTTTTGGTCACTAATCTTCATGTCATTTCAGATCCGGCCCTTCTTCCCTGTCATGCTATCAATCGTTCCCCCTCACCTGTTTCTCACCACCCATCTCCTCACCTGCTGTTCGCTAGCTCATTTATTACTCAGTATTTATACCCGTTGTCATGACCCGGCTCTATGCCATGACAAAACAAAAGGGAGACATGGGTTGAAGGCCGAAATAACAGTAAGTTATTGTAAAGAACCATTTCCACTTGTTCCCTGCCAAATTGTCTTGTGTTATTCCTTGCTAAGCTTTCCTGCATTCTCCTGTTCTGGCTTCTTGTTTTGACCTCTCGTTTGCCTTCTGGGACTTTGGGTTTGGATTTGTTTGCCTGTACGACTGATCTCCTGGTTTTGATCTTGCCTGTTTTTGGACTAAGTCAACTGATTTTTCCCTCACTCCTTTCCTGCTCCGTGGTCGAGCTTTTGGGGTTCCCTGTTGCCTAGACCAGTGGTGGTGACACTCTCGTGTGTTGTGTGTTTTTACTGACTTCTGCAGTTGCGTAATGACGCGTCCCCGAAGTATCCGCTTCGGCAGATGCCGCAGTTCGGCCCCTCCGTGTTGTACAGGCATTTCCGGCACTCTCCGGTCTGCCTGTCGCAGGCCTCCATGTCCGACATGTCTATGTTGTTGTTGCACTGGCACGGCTGGCAGCGCCCCCCCGGCTGGGAGGGGTTGCCATAGTAGCCAGGGGCGCATTCCTCACAACGGGCACCTGAGGTGGACAAAGGTAAACTTTGAGGCAGAGCAGAATTTACAAGAAATAAACGTTGAGGTGTCACAAACACTGATAATAACTGGACCAATGTTGCCTCCAGTGGGCCGTACAACTTGCTTTTAAGGACCAGGGAGGAGAAAGCATGTCATCTTTATTCAACAAGCTAACAATGACCCAAGAGAAAACCATCTGAATGGGTTAGTCCAACACTTTACCAACGGCTGCAAAACGGGGACATCATCACACTAATGAGGTATGTTACTCGCATAAGTTTTGTTACTGGTCATCACTCAGAGGGTTTTTTTGGGGGTATCCAGTTCTTATTAGTTAAGTCTTTTTGTTACCGAACCTCCTTGAGATTCCCACGCTCACCGACACCTAATCTACCCAAACACAAGTCATCCATCTACCGTCTGTTTTTCGTATCTTACACCCACATTTCAGCTGAGTCATCGTAACTGACTGTTGGGTTTGAATTCGGGGGCGCGGCCAGTACCAGCTCTCACAAAGCCAGTATCCCCGGGATGGCTATCATTAATCATTCAAGCACAAAAAGGCCTCTAATTCAAGCTATTTTCATTTGTAACTTTAGGCACTTTGTTTCAAGCTGTCTCTCACAAATGGAAATCTTTTGTTAGCATATTCAATAAAGAATTACAAAAAGAAAACTATCTCCAGCCGATGAAGCGGATCTGAAAGTGGTATATTTAAGAAAGAGGAGCAGGTCCAGCAGAGAGCTGAACAGGAGCTGAGAGCTGCATCTGGACCTCCAGCTGATCAGCTCCTGGTGGCCTCAGCAGAAATGCTCTCCAAGAAGGCTAAACCAAGGCTAAAATTAGCAAAAAATACACAAAAAAAGCAAAACTAAGACTTAAAATTGACAAAAATGCAACAAAAAAAGCTAAAGATAAGCTAAAAAGACCAGAATGAAAGCCTAAAGATGCTAAAATGACCAAAATAGAGCCAAAAGTCATGTATTTAACAGCAACTAAAAGCTCTCAGAGTTCCCACAGTGGGTCAGAAACTGGATGAAGTGGACTGAACCCCATCAGCTCTGATGGAGGGATAGATCCTCCAGAGCCGGAGCTCCACATGATGAAGCAGAGTGGGATCATCTGACAGAGAATGGAGCCAAAGGCAGAAAAACATCCAGAGAAGAGCTCTGGGACGTCCTACAAGAAGCTGGTGAGCTGCTCCTGAATTGAGCTAGAAGAAATTATTCTGGAAGACTACAGAAAGCTTCTCTGTCAGGGTTCAGGTTGTGATAAAGAGTAAAGAAGCTCAGCCTCAAACATTGACTTTAAAGTGCACAAAGACAGACTCTACAGACTCGATACAGACTTTAAACTTTGCACATCTAAGCACATGGCTGTACCTACACCTGCTTTTTTGGATAGAACTAAATAGGGTCAGGCTCAGTGATTTTGGATGGTGCTGCACACTCTGTAAGTGGGTTGAGCTCAAAAGGGCAACAAAAAGATCTCTGGAAGGACTTGGGCTCAGAAAAACATGGTGTCTCTTTGCTGGAGAAAGAAAGACTGGTGAAAAGAAAACAGAAGGATTGTCCTGCCAGCATAGAATCTGAGGTCAATAAAAAATAAGATTTTACCAAATGTGGACTATAAAGAGAGGATAGAGGACAGAGGGCAAATGGAAAAGTAGAAGGTGACTAACTGTTCTCTCTCTCTCTCTATGTACACCTTAAATCAGTGCGTATAACTTAATCTGAAGGTGAAAAGCCATCAGCAGTGCTCCATGGAGCTTCAGAAAAAGGTGAAATACACTTTTTTAAGTGTGATGTACGACTGTAATGCCTTCACAGTGACTTCCTCACATCTTCCAACATCCTCCATTCACACAAACTCCAAACATCAAAAACAGAAGCTGACCCAGATTCAGATCTGACCGACATCTCAATCCGATCCCTTCTGGGTCAAGCTCTTGTTTTAGGGGCGTTTCGACAGACCTGGTTCATCTTTTTTTGCCTTTGATTGAATTCATCTCCCACTATTTGGGGACGTCGGGCGAACGTTTTCTGCCCTTCGGTGCCACAGAAAGCCCGGGCGGTCTCAGAAACGAGGAAATGGGACATATTTTGAGCCAGGTCTGACACAGGAGTGCACAGTGGGACAGCACCCATGCATGGGAGGGGCTGGTGGGGGGGGGGGCAGCACAGTGTGTGGATGGGAAACAAAGGAGAGGGAGGAGGAGAAAGGAGGAGGAGGGGGGTCAACCATTATTACTCACGCTTAAAAATGGTGGCCCCGGAGCGTTTAACAATCCCTGTGCCAGTAGTACAGGGGGGGAGGGAAATGACACGTTACCATTAACCCATTAACCAGAGAGCCCACACAGAAACATCACTCTCTCCTCATTGGAGTAAGATCCATTTAGCTTCAACTCATGAAGAACAACGGTGAAGTTTTATTTAATAAAATCAAAGTTAAAATCAAAAGGACCCAAACAGGAGCCCTGTGGCTCTATAGGACTCCTAAAAATGAGTTTTGTGTCAATGTTTACAGCTCAAAACGCAGGACAAGAATCCAGTCTGGTCAGAAAGTTTTCACAATGCTATCATTGAAATAAATGTCAAATTAAGGCTTTTTATAAAAGTTGATTGTTGTTTCAATTAAACAGGTTAAAGGCTTAAACACGTAGATACACCTGAGCTGATCTGGGCTTGAGTTTCACAAATCAACATGAAGCTCAACCATCTAAATCAGCTCCTTTGAGCTGAGCTGGACTGTAAAAGTCTTCCTCCAGACTTTCTCAAATCCCCAAAGCTCCTTCTCAGGGAAGCGGGGTGTATTCACCCCTGTGGGCCTGAGTGTGTGCGTTCTGTTGTGTATCGGTGCTCCGGCTGTACCTGTGTAGCCCTGGTTGCAGTTGCAGATGATCTGGCGGTTGCGGTTGTCCTGGTAACAGGACGCCGCAAAGTGGCGTCCGCTGTCGGGTCCATCTGGACAGGGACACGGTCGGCACTGACCCCCGGAGGCTAAGCCCAAAACGGGATTACCATAGTAACCATTGGCACACCTACAGGAATAAATAAAGCAGGAAATGTAACTTTTAAAGAGACTCATCTAATAAACCTTCAATAAGTATTGTAAGTGATAAATTCCTGTTGTATCTCATTTGTAACCTCGGCCGACACACAAGGCTGATCATATTTTACTGTAACAAAAAAAGATGTAAAATATGCTTTATTCCAGATATTAAATCTGTGATTTCTCTTTACATTATTTCAATAATGAGAACAGCTGAGCAACACCAGCATTTGCAGGAAAGGGGGTGTGAATAAGTTCAAGGCAAACAGACTCATAAAACTGTATAAATCAGGTTTCTTTGGATGCCAACTATTTCAATGAGGGTACCAAAATTCTTTAAAACTGACTAGGAAACTATAAATAAACCAGATTAACACTTAGAGGCTTGTTTTTGTCTCAATGCTGTGCCAGCCCAATACAAATTTATACAAAAACAAATACAAATGTATGGATTTTGTTTAAACTAGAGCCAAAAGAACTAAAGTCCAAAGCCGATGTGGGTCCTCCTGGGCAACACTCGTGCTTCTAAAGAGCTGAAATGAACCCGGGTTTTGTCAGGAGGGTGGATCTTAGGGGAGGGACTCAGTCGCGGAGAGATGGGATCAAGGGGTTTATTTTAACAAAAAACTCACTCAAACGGAGTGGATGCAGACAAAGTTCAAAATAAGGCTGTGACAAAACTATGAACAAAGCATCAAAGTAAGAGTAAACAAGGCTATGGCAAAGTATCAACTAAAGATTAACAAAACTGTGGCAAAGTATCAAAACAAGACTATGGCAAAAATACTAAATAAAGTTAACAAAAATAAGGCTATGGCACAAAAAGCAAGGCTGTGGCAAAAGCGCAAAAATCAAAACCTTACGTTGTCTTGATTACCTAGTTCGTTTATCGTCCTTCTTGTTTCGTCTGTCTGTTTTCGTCACCCCACGTCAGGTTTGATTTTGTCACAGCCTTGTTTACTTTATTGCCATAGTCATGTTTTTGTTCCATAGCCATAGTTTTCGTCACAGCCATGTTTTTTCACAGTTTTGTTAATTACGATTTGATACTTTCCCACAGTCTTGTTAACTTATTGCTTTGATACTTTGTTCATAGTTTTTTTTCCCACAGCCTTGATTTGAACTTTGTCTGGACATTCACTCTTTGGGAGTGTTCCTTCGTTACAATACAATAAACCCCTTTTTTTCTGCATCTCCGTGCCTGAGTCCTTCCACCCAGATCCCCCTCCCTGACACATGGTGAGGGGTTTGAGCCCCACCTCTCGCAGCTGTCCCCCCCGGTATTGTCCCTGCAGCCGATGCAGGCGCCCGTGCGCTGCTGGCAGAGGTCGGCGTGCCCGTTGCAGCGGCATGGCCGGCAGCTGGGGAAGCCCCAGTGGCCGCGCTGGCAGCCGTCGCACCGCTGGCCGAAGGCCCCCGGGCGACACTGGCACTGACCGGTGGACCCGTCACAGAGCCGGGTCAGGGAGCCCTCCAGGCTGCAGTCACAGGCTGGAGACAGGAGGGGTAAAAAGGAAAGGCTTTGTTTGGAAGTGGACAGTAGAGGGCACCACCACTCATCATATCACTCACTCCATCCATCCATCCATCCATTATCAATACCGCTTATTCCCTGATGGGGTCGCGGGGGGAACTGGAGCCTATCCCAGTGGTCAATGGGATAGAGAGGCAGGGTACACCCTGGACAGTCCGCCAGTCCATCGCAGGGCCACACAGAGACACACAAGGACCAACAACCACTCACACTCACATTCATTTCCCCAACCTCCAATCAGCCTGACATGCAGGTTTTTGGACTGTGGGAAGAAGCCGGAGAACCCGGAGAGAACCCACGCAGACACAGGGAGAACATGCAGACTCCACCCAGAACCCTCTGGTCCTGGTTCCCCCGGGGACTCCAACCCAGAACCCTCTGGTCCTGGTTCCCCCGGGACTCCAACCCAGAACCCTCTGGTCCTGGTTCCCCCGGGACTCCAACCCAGAACCCTCTGGTCCCGGTTCCCCCGGGGACTCCAACCAAGGACCCTCTGGTCCTGGTTCCCCCGGGGACTCCAACCCAAAACCCTCTGGTCCTGGTTTCCCCGGGGACTCCAACCCAGAACCCTCTGGTTCCTGGTTCCCATGGGACTCCAACCCAGAACCTTCTGGTCCTGGTTCCCCCGGGGACTCC